ACATCGACATCAGGATACGCCAGTTTTACCTTCTTCCGGCAGTCAGAGAAGGCCAAAATGGCAGTAGGAAGGCGATAGAGGTTGACGATATCCTCAAAGGTGCTGGACTTCAGGAACCCCTCCACATGCTCCTCAACTGAGTTGTGAACCTTAAGCCCCAACTCGGCCACCACCTTCTCCGCCTCCTCCACCTCCTTCTCCCTCTTCTCCAACTCGGCCTCACATATCTTCCTCTTCTGGTACGAGTTTTCAGAGTCCTTTTTAAGGGTAGCGTTCTCCTTCCGGAGCTCCTCCATCTCAGCCTTCAACTTCTCCACCTCGATCTCGGCAGCCTCGCTCTTCTTAACGAGCTCGGCGTTCTCCTTCCTCATCTGGTTCCTCTCTTTTAAACTCTCGTGATGCTCATTGGCCAAAGCATTCACAAGATTAACAGCCTGCATGATCAAACCGCCCCATCTCATCAAACAATTAACAAAATCAAAATCCTTAAACTCCAACCGGGGCAAAGAAATTATACCTCCAGCGTTTGACGGACGACGCCAACTGAACCCCGGGCAGCCACCTCGTCCTTCGCGCGCTGGCGATCCACCTCCGGGAAGTAGGTGTTGATGAACCTCTTCGCCGTGCTCCTCATCCCGGAGTCATAAAAACTGGTCGTCTGCGCTCGGATGTACCCGTGCTCCTGAAGCGTAGCAGCAAACTCGGCAGCTGAGGCTGACGAGGTCCCTTCCAGGCGAAGAGTTGAAGTCGCAGGCGCTGGCACCTCCTCCAATTCCACCACGGCCCCTTGTTGCTCCAACCTCCTCTTCGCCACAATGGGCCCCTCCTCAGCAACCGTCACTTCTCCTCCAGTGTGACCAGATTGAGCGATGGCTACGTTATCCATTTCAACTTGAGGCAGTGAAACCTCCTCCAACCGCCTCCTGGCCTCGCCTCTCTTCCCTCTTCCCTTCTTCGGGATCCCAACCCCACCAGCTGCGTCCAGAAACTTGTTCATCTCCTCTGCAAAACAAAGCAAGGTTAAACCCTGATCAGAACTCTTAAAGTAAATCAACAATTAAAAGTCACACACCTCCCAGTTGCGAGCTCGGCCTATATATCTCAGCCGCGTCTAACATCCTCTGGCTTGTGTACTCCATAACATCCAGCAAACCCACACCCCCTCTTTCCAACTCCCCCACATCCTCTAACTCCCCCGAGGTCAGACTATACTCGTTGGGGCTTAACCCTTTCGTCTTCCAACGACTCAAGTGTTCCACCTCAGCATCGGTCTTATCCCACTCCGTGTCATCCGCAAAAAAGAATTTATCTTTCCATCCTTTGATGGAAGATGGCCCGGCACTAAATAAACCCCTCCTCTGCCTACCCACCACCCGGCCCGTAAAGTAGAACCACCCCTTTTCCCTACCACTCCCAGCATTCAAGACGTAAAAGTACTTAAATACGTTTGCGGTAGGAAAACTTACCCC